CGCGCGAGGGGCGCGCCTCTCGAGGTGAGCATGCGGCCGAAATGCGACGACGAGTACCCAGTCGTGGAGATGGACTTCTTCTACGTGGCCACCGACGCGATAGCTGGGAAGTACCCCGTGGTGAACGGCTACGTCGTGAAGGCCGTCGGCTTCAGGAAGCTGGAGCATAGGGGGCGTGGGGGGCTGCCCGCGATCCTGAGCGTCGCGGACTGCAGGTCCAGCACCTCAGGCGCGCTCTTTGGCTCCAAGCACATGGGAGGCTACAGGGCGCACTTCGTGGCCAAACTCATCGACAGCTGGGGCCGCGCGACGGTGATTCTGCTCGCGGACGGCGAGAATGCGATCGTCGCTCTGGCGGAGCAGGCGAAGAAGCTCAGGTCGCACTCTACGATAGTGCGGCAGGGCCCAGCGTACTCATCCAAGAGCATGGGGCGCATCAAGGCCAGCAACATAGCAGCTGCGGGACTACTCCGCACGTTGCGGTTTTCACTCGAGACCGAGCTGGGCTGCAAGTTCGAGCTCTCGGACTCCATCCTCGCCTTCCTCGCCAACGCGGTCGGCTGGTGCATCGCGAGGTTCCAGCCGAGAAGCCACGGAGGATCCAGCTACAAGTGCCTCTTCGGCCGCGAGTACGCGGGCGAGGTGGCGGAGGTCGGCGAGCAGGTGTGGTGCCGCATTGCGGTTCGAGTCGCAGCGGGCCAGGGCAAGTTCGAGGCGCGCTTCGCGAAGGGCATCTGGGTGGGCAAGTCGGAGTTCGACGACCAGCGCCTGGTGGTCGACCTGCAGCGCTGGCTCTTGAAGGCCCGCTCGGTCCGCCGCATGCCTGAGGAGTTCCGCTGGAGCGCTGAGCTCGTGAAGCAGATCGACGTCGCACCTTGGGCCCCCGTGCCTGAGCGAGTGAGGTCGAGCATTAGGAAGTCTATGTATACCGCAGAGAACATGTTGAACACGCGCGGTCCGACGGACAGCTGCCCGAAGTGCACCTACGAACGGAGCCGGCGCAGTGAGCAGTGCAGGCGGCGCTTCGAGACCATCGCGCATGAGAGGCTCGAGGCGAAGCTCGCGGAGGAGGCCAGGGGCAGGGCTGCCCCAGGCACTCCAGCGACGCCGGGGCCAGCGCCCCAGGCTCCCCCGCATGTGCCTGCCGACGCGCAGGCAGCGGCCTCGAATCCAGCGGCGGCAGCGCCCTCGACAGCACCTACGCCAGTCGCGGCGTCTGCGACCCCAGGGATGGACACGAGCGAGCCTAGGGCACCGGCGCGAGACCCCATAGCAGAGACCTCAGAGCCGAACGAACGACAGAGGATCGGTGCGCTGGCGCAGGCGCCCGAGGTCGTGGTCATCGCGGGCCTCTCCGTGTGCGAGCTGGCGGTCTGCGAAGAGGACGACGACCAGGAAGAGGACGCGCTCTGGGGCCCGACGCATCGGGCTGAGGAGCGGTGTGAGGGCTTGTGCGAGACGCAGGTGTGCCGCTGTGCCTACCGACACGACCATGCTGGACAGTGCGCGTGCAGGAGATGTCTTATCGGCTGCGCCAAGAAGCTCGATCCAGACGCCGAGGTCGTGGCGAGCCTATGCGCGTTGTGGTCGAACCGTAGGGTGCGCGAACAGCCCGACTGGAACCTCGACCCGAACTCGCCCGAGCCGACGGTGAATATCCACTGCGATTACTACGCGGGCGAGCCCCCTCGACGGGAAGAAGTGCCAGAAGGGCAAGGCGGACGAGCTCCAGGCCATGGCCGAGTGCGGCGTCTACCGCAAGATCCGCATCGCGGACTGCGAGCTTGGTGGCAAGCACGTCGGGGGCTTCCCCATCGCGCGCGAGAAGGCTGGCGAGGTGCGCTTGCGCTTCGTGGCGACGGAGGTTGCCCGCCAGCACCGTGGGGACAACCATCAGGGCGCACCGCCACTCGCAATGATTCGCGCGATTCTCAGCTTGGCGGCCAGCAGACCAGACAGCGACGGACAGCGCAGACGGTGCATCCGCATCTGGGATGTCCGCAAGCCGTTCTTTAACAGCGACGTGACTGAGAATATATACGTCCACCCAGGCAGCGAGCTGTGCGAGCGAGGCTACTGCTGGGAGCTGTTCACGGCCCTGTACGGGGCCCGACTGGCCAGCCAGCTGTGGGGCGAGAACGTGAAGGTTACCTCGGACGACTCTGGGGGCATGGCGCTGAAGTGCGCCCCTGGCATGTTCTACTTCGCCAACCTCTGCAGCGACGGCAACGACGCCACGATGGGGGTCCACGGCGACGACTTCATCGCGGAGGGCCATGTCGGGACGCTCGACCAGCTGGATGACGTCCTGAGCGTGGAGTACGAGATCACCTCATCGCCGCCGCTGGGGCCTGGGCACCCTGGAGTTGCCCGCTACCTGAAGCGCGTCTGCGGCTACGTCGACCAACCGCCCGAGACGCTGCTGCCGGGCTTCTTCTGGCACGCGGACCCGAAGCACGTGGCGGAGATCATCAAGTTCGGATCCAAGGAGGGTGCCGAGGCGGTCGACGCACCAGGCACCAATGCGATCGGGGCGCAGCTACGCAATGCGACGGATCCGATGCCCACGGCCGAGGCACGCAAGACAGCCTCAGCGGGAGGCATCGCGCTCTACCTGGCGGCGGACCGGCCCGACATCATGTTCGCGAGCAAGACCGTCGTGCAGGACGTGAGCAAGCCGAACTATCAGATGAATGCGAGGCGCAGTCGGCTGGCCCGATACTTGGGGGGACACCAGGTCCCAGTGTGGTGCTACGAGCTGCAGGGCCTGCCGAGTATCCGGAGGGCCGACGGCGATGCCGACTGGGCGGCGCCGACGGCAGTGGCACGCAAGAGCACATCTGGAGGCGCGATCAGGTTCGGCAATCACACCTGGGAGTGCTACTCGGCCAGCCAGGCCACCCAGGCTCTCAGCAGCGGCGAGTCGGAGTTCTACGCGCTCGGCTCGGTCGAGGCGCGGGGCTTGCAGATGAAGTTCTTCCTGGGCGAGGTCGGGATCGAGGTTCGCCTGGTGGTGGCCTCGAACAGCGCGGCCGCGCGGGGCATGGCCCAGAGGCACGGAGTGGGCAAGGTCCGTCACTTAGAGCTGCGCTACCTCTGGATACAGGAGCGGCTGCGACGCCATATGTTCGAGCTCGTGAAGGAGGACGCGCGCAAGATGGTGGCAGACATATTGACGAAGTATGTTGACAAGGAAACCATGGCGACGCACCTGCGCGAGCTGAACCTGAGGATGGCGGGTGCAGCCATGATGCTATCGACCCTCCTTGCGATCCCTGGCGCGGCGGCGGCCAAGGACCAGTGTGAGATGGACTACGAGGGCGAGAAGCTCGAGGCAGTGCAGTCGAGGGTCTCCCCCTGGTTGCTGGTGAGCTTGGTCGTGGTGCTGTGTATTATCGCGTACCTTTGCGGCTGGTGCGTGGGCAGGCGCAGAATGGTCTCCCAGACGGCCGAGGAGGACCCAAGAGCGGCGTCGATAGGCGAGAGGCACCAGCACCACGACGAGTATGCCGAGTCGAAGCAGCAGTAGAGAACGCAGGCTCTATGGAGGCTCGAAGAACAGAAGTACATAACATGGGAGGTTCAGCGCCTGTACGAGGTCTACACCGTCGGCGAGTTGTGGGAGCTGCTAGTCGAGTGGGGCTTGGTGCTCAAGGAGGGCTACACGAGGAAGGAGGAGCTCGTCGAGAGCGCTGGAAGGAACAGCCCGACGGAGATGCAAGTGATCACCCAGCTGACGAATGAGTGGAAGGACCACGGGGTCGACGTGAAGTGGCGTGCTCGTATGCGGGCGAGCGGACGTGACATCCAAAGGATGCTCACCGCCACCGCGGAGGTCATGAACTGCCTGCGGGAACGCCTTCACGGATCATGAGGGCGCAGACAGTGGATGAGGGCATTTTGCCCGCTCTTGCGCATGCCGACCACGAGGAGAGGTGCTCGTCCCTAGTCCAAATCTGGGAGGGGGGGGTACGTCCGTGGGGCTAAGTACGCCTGGTCGGGAGCTGCAGCAGGAGAATGTTCCCGTGAAGCTGCTTCACCGCTCTTCCACAATCCCTTTGGTTGAAGGAATGGAGGAGGAGGAGGAGGAGGAGGAGGAGGAGGAGGAGGAGGAGGAGGAGGAGAGGAGGAGGAGGAGGAGGAGGAGGAGGAGAGAGGAGGAGGAGGGGAGGAGGAGGAGGAGGAGGAGAGGAGGAGGGAGGAGGAGGAGGAGAGGAGGAGGAGGAGGAGGAGGAGGAGGAGGAGGAGGAGGAGGAGGAGGGAGGAGGAGGAGGAGGAGGAGGAGGAGGAGGAGGAGGAGGAGGAGGAGGAGGAGGAGGAGGAGGAAGGAGGAAGGAGACACACAGGCGCACAGGCAGCGAATGCAACAAAGTATGTGTAAGACTACCCTCAGCATTCGTACATATATTGCATTCGATGGAACAACGTCTGCCGCGCATTCTGATGACTCCACACGATGACATACTGAATATCCACGAGGACCCGAGTCGGGAGCCAGTCTCCAGCGTCCTGGCAAGTGCCAGAAGCAAGACTGCGGTTAGGAGTGCGCAAGTGGTTGAAAAATAACACATCCGTTGGAATAAAAACACAGTGTGTGAAACACACATGCAAAACACATTAACAGCACACACTGTGGAAACAAAACACGGTGGAAAACAAAACACACACACAGTGTGTGTGTGTGTATGTGTGTGTGTTTTGTCACAGTGAATGTCTTTTGTCCACAAACTTTGTCCACAGTGTGTGTGTGTGTGTGTGTGTGTGCGTGTTTTTTTTCCACAGGGTGGTTCACATGTTCCGACTGCCGGAACCATGTGGCGCGATCTGCCCGCGCCCGCACCCCCCAGAGCCGTGCTCCGCCAAACACCTCCTGCCCCGCCGCACCTCTCAACGGGTTGACCTCGTTCCCCTCCTCCACTTCCTCTCGTTTCTTTATCCCTGCCTTCATTGTGGCCCTCTGCGCCTCCGTGCTGCTCGCGCAAAAACTCCGCGGGCGGGAGGTTATCAACGGCGGCAGCCACGCTGGCAACAGGCTGGCTTGCCAGGAGCTCCACGAGGGGGGTGGCCCAGACGCGTGGAGTATGCAGCAGGCCGGGAGAGTTCCCAGAGAAGGGTGTCGCTCAAAGCGAGGACGGGGCTGCAAAGTAATCATGTTTGTCATGATGGTGGCGATTATTGTGGCGTCGACGACCACGAGTGCGTCCTGACGATGACTGCGAAGACGATGACGATGATAATGACGATGAGAGCATGGTGCTCCAGCGTCGGCGAGGTAGCAGTGGAGAGAGAGTGTGAGAGAATGCGCGGCGACAGACGAGGACGGAATCCTGTGTCACTGTCGTTCGTTGAGCGAATTTGAGCCCTGCGTGGTGACAAACACCATATGGGGCGACTTCTGCAGGGATCTCAGGGACACAGAGGGGGACTGGAAGCCCGATTCTTCATTCGGTGGCACGATTTGAAGCTCGTGGTTCGTGGTTGCGCTTTTGGGTCACTGCTTCGGCCTGGGTGGTACAGCGCTGCATAGTGCAGCATCGACCCTCACCCCTCTCGATTGGGGTTGCGAATCCGCTTCGCGATCTCTTTCCACTTGTTTCGTGATGTGAATGGCACGCGCGCGAGCTAGTAAGGTCAGCATTGAAACACGTGTACGTTGCGAGGGGAAAAGAGCTAGTGTTTCTTGGTTTGTTCGAGCTTCGGGGTTCGTGCTTCGTGTTTCGTAGAGCTTGTGGTTCCTGGCGTGGGGCGTGGTTGTTCGTTGTTCCTGGTTCGCAGGATTGGTCGTGGCTTGCGGCTGGTGGATACGCTGTTCGTGGCAGTGGGCCTTGATGATTGGTGCACGTTCCCAACTCGAGGAGGAGGACGAGGAGGAGAAGGATGAGGAGGAGGAGGGAGGAGGAGGAGGAGGAGGAGGAGGAGGAGGAGGAGGAGAAGGAGGAGGTGAAAAGATAAGCGGGTGATTTCGATATGGAGGAATTTATCCTGGGCTCGAGGCTCAAGCCGGCTGCGGGTGAAGGAATCGTAACAGCCCCCCTCAGATCTGGCACGCATATACAGATCGGGGCAGAGCTGTCCTAAAACAGTGCACGCGTATGTACCACAATCAGTACTAGAGCATACTTTTACTGACAATGGCACAAAGAAGTAAAGAACCACTAAAAGGGATACCAGTGCTCAACTGATGTCTGCGGGGGCACAGAGGCAATCTTTTGTTGCATATGCTAACCCCATGTCTCACTCAGAGAAATCTCCCCGCTCGAACCGGTCAGCCACAATCCGGAGAACCTCTGCCACACCGAACCTCGTCTTCAATTCGTTCACATCAATGCGAATATCCTTCAGGATGTCTTGTTCCCTTTGCTCAGTGGTCAGAGGAGGCTTGACCTTCTTGGAACTGTCCCGGCTGCGGCTCCGACTCGGGCTCGCTGTCTTTGACGCGGAGCGGCTCCTGCTTTTGACATGGCGCTCTGCTGCCTGATCCGCCGGTTTCGGTGGAGGCGGTGGCAGCACAGGTGGTTTGTCTACCCATGCGTTTTCCGGTGGGATTTCGGTCCAGTCTCTCTTGCAATAGCAAACCTTGATACTGCGATCAAAGCCGTCTGCTGCATCATGTGACATCTTGTGATTCGAACCAGTCACAAAGTGCTGTTTCAACCTGAACGAAAGGGTGTCCATGGCTTTTTCACGAGTGTTCACTTGCTCTCGCTTTATAACCGCGCAGTATTGCGGCAAGCATTCTGGACATTCTTTGTAAATGTACGCGACATCTGGGTGCAACATGTGATGGTATCGAAATGTACAACAAGTGTGTTCCTGCCCATCAAAGTCTTGAGCCAACACACCTCCGTGCTATGACTACGCGTAGATACCAAACCTACGCTTCAACGTAGAAAGCCTAGCTTTGTCAAGGTATTTTGTTCCAATGTCTGAAATGTTGTCTGTTGTTGTCACTTTGGAGATATCGATACGCTTTGTTTGCACAAGTTGTTGTACATGTAAAAACTTAATATCAACATGTTTCAACCGTCCTACGCCTAGTCTTGATGCTATGGCCCTGCCTGCGCTGCTGTCTGATTTCACAGTGGCCGAGGTCTCATACCCCAGCTCTTTGATCAGTGAGTGCGCATGCAGTGCCTCTGCGGCGCCGGAGGCTATGGCATATAGCTCGGCTTCGCCGCTGGATTGGGCGATCACGCTCTGCGTGCGGCTGTAATTACAGAGAACGCACGAGCCCCACATGACAACTCCAGCAGATGTGTTTTTTCTCGTCTGCTGGCACCCTGCCCAATCCGAGTCAACATAGACAGTTACCTTGTCGGAAATCGAATCGCACCTAAGATGAAGATGTTCGTTTCTGGTCCCCTTCAAATATCTCAACAGGTGCTTCAACTTACGGACATCTCTTTTTGTAGGCGACGCGAGTTGCCTCGCAAGCTCTTTGACTGAAAATTGGATGTCTCCTCGTTCCTGACAGATGAATTGTAATTTACCAACTGCACACCTGTATTTGTGGTGTTCGACCTTATCTAAAAGCACGAACTCCTCCCCGACAGAGCCCTTGACATTAGGGGTGTCTTTCACACCTGGTGTGCTTACGGGAGTACAATGCAACATGTTGTATATGTTCAATGTGTCATCAATATACTTGTCTGTGAGGAAAACGTTGATACCGCCGTCACGTGTTACATACATCCTCCCGAGGTACTTCGTGGGAACCTCGTCATTAAACGATCACCACGCTTGAACAACACATGTTTTTCGAGCTGTCCAAAAAACTCATCAATCTTATTTTTGTCTCCTACTGCAATGGGATCATCTACGTGTATGCTAATACGAACTCCGGTTTTCTTATTCCAAAACAACTGCGGGTCGGTCAAACAACGGTTGAAGCCAAGATGATCTGTTAACACGTTCGCAATGAAATCTTGGAAATTTTGCGGTGCCTTTCTCAATCCATTCATGGCCTTGTTCATCTTCCAAACCCATCCGGGGTACCGAGAACGCCAGGGTTCTGGCGGGCGGCAGAAAACATTCTCATCTGATATGTCTGCATGCATAAAAGCAACACTAAAATCTCCAATGCATACCACCAGCTTCTCTGCCATGGCGATTGCTAGCAAAATGCGAAGGCCAATCGGTGTTGGCGTTGCAGCGAAAACGTCGTCCCGGTTACTTGCGATTTTCAGATCTTTTGCAACAAGCCTAGACCGCACCTCGTCCCCTTTCATCTTGTGTACCCATCCTGTTTCAATTGGTTTACTTGAAGCCTTATCTTCGCGCCACCAAGAGTACACTCTGAAGTGGTCTAAATTACACATTTCTCTGGACATACCTTGTTCGACCAACTCTTTGGGGAGACCGTCGATGAACTCGACGCCTTCACACCATTGTTTAACAATTCTTCATTGGTCAGGCAGAGGTCCGTTGAGTGCTGTTCTGGTTCTTCACATAAGTACTGGTCCTCTCCGATGTTGAGAATCGGTCGGATGATTGCCATAATTCTCGATCCTGGGGATTCCGGGTGTTCCTCTTCAGCCCTGCGTTTCGTAGCTGGTTGCCGGTCGTCCGGTGACGATCCGTCTTCCTGCATTCGGTCGCCAGAGGCATCGTCACGATGCTTGGCGTCGTGCGTTGTCTTCCTGCTCTTGTCGGCTGCTGCTTGTTCTGCTGTGTCCTCTTCTTCTCGTTTTCGTTTCTCTGCGCATTTCAACTCCCGCTCCTGCCGTCTACGCTTGCATTCGGCAGAATGTGTATTGCCATGGGTTCCCTCGTGGCACGCTTTGCAATTCGGTGTCTTGCCGCACTCTTGCCAAAATAACCGAAGTTTCCTGTTGGCTTCACGCTTCTGTTGTTCAGGTACGTCTGGCACGGGATATGCATGCTGCGGTGACGGGTTGTCTTCAGAGCCCGGCTTATAGTTAAGATCCCAAGGGACACCGTAGATTTGATTCACAATTGTTTTGTTGAGCCGCGAGGTTTCCTCGAGTCTGCGAATGTTGCGAGATTGTATCAAGCCTTTGGGGGTTGCTATAATGTGTTCATCGTTGCCTACAGCTTTTCCCATCCAGACACCGGTTACCCAATGCGGCTCCATTTTGTGGACGATGGGGCCATTGTACCGTGCGCTGACACATTCACCAAACTCGACAATAAAATCTTGATATGAGTGACCTTTTGTTCTCTCGAAGGATGTTTTTCCGTCGCTGTGTTTTTGGTACCGGGTGTACAGCCATCCGCAGTGTCTGATCAACCACGGCGCGAGCAGGCTCGTGTTTTTGAGCACCATATTGTAATGGCCCTCAAAAGCCAGCTTCTGGGTCCGAACGAGACCCTTGATAGATTGGTGAAAGCGCTCAACTGTCCCGTTAGACTGTTTGGATGCAACTGGCGTTTGCCTCAAATGAGTTTTCGGAGAACTGCCGTCGACCTGCCTCTTGTTAGCGATTGCGCGGGCCAGGTCCTTCACAGAAGATTCCGAATCAGTCTGCAAAATAATTTCTCCGTTCAACCCTGAGTGCTCCAAATGTTTCACGATGTATCCGACCGCGTGTGTGTCAGGGGACCCTTTGGCCTTGACCTGTGTGCGCGCCCCATGGCCGTTCAAGACATCAATTACTGATACACATGTGATTACTGCTGCGTCGTGCGCTGTTTTCAAAAAGAAATAATCTATCTGAACAATGGGGATAATGGACTCTTCCGGATGTTTGTGTGGAGATTGCTTGGCACGCCCGTGCACGCAGAATTCGCACCAAGCACGGAAAGGTATGTGCGTAAGATTGTGCTCCAACCGCTCTTTGAGTGTTGGTCCAGTGGGGATTCTGGGAGCCAACGGCTTTTCTCCTTCGTCGACCTCCTCTTGCTCTGGCTGTGACGCTGGTGGCACCTTCGAGGGCCTAAACATGGTTATCGACTGAAACGGCTGATGTTGCATCCAGGGAATGCGGTCAAACGTCTCATACTTGCGATGCAGGTCTGCTATCGACACGTCATCTTCCAGAAGTTTCCACACAGAACCTTTCAACATTTGGACCCAGGTTGTCCT